CATCCTTCTGCAGAGCACTGTAGTGTTTATAGTCCATTCTTGCATATGTTGCATATAACATCCAGTATCTTCAGCCAATACTCAAGAGAAGTTACAGTTTTCTTTAGATCATGTCACCTGGAACTGGTAAATCCAGATGTCTGGCCCACATCCTTTTGCTGCTAACTGATGTAATGCTCTTTATAATTTGAAAGACAGGAGATGAAAGGAAATAGAGAGCAGTGAGTCTGAAGGCAGTTAGTGACACTCAACCCCAGATGCAAACCGATAGAAACCATGAGTGGACCAGTGATGCACTTATATTCAGGGTTTAAGGCAGAAACCTAGTGATAGAAATTAGAAAACCAAGTGAGAAACTAGACACAAAATATAGTAATAAATTACATTTAAAAAGTGTTAGATTATAGGGACTCGGAGCAAATTTTTTAAAGCATTAAAATGTTTGAGAAGTACCTGTACTTAATGACACTCATTAAACGCTCATGATTTTCCTGTAGAGACAATGAAGAATTTAAGGATTGTTACAAGTAAAGTTTCAGAAGTAATATGGGAAGGTTGGGAAATAAGAAAGAATATGAAAAATAATGAAGAAATGCCCTAACCGGTTTCGCTCAGTGAATAGAGCATCGGCCTGCAGACTCAAGAGTCCCAGGTTCGATTCTGGTCAAGGGCATGTACCTTGGTTGCGGGCACATACCCAGTAGGGAATGTGCAGGAGGCAGCTGATCGATGTTTCTCTCTCATCAATGTTTGTAACTCTCTGACCCACTCCCTTCCTCTCTGTAAAAAATCAATAAAATATATTAAAAAAAATAATGAAGAAATGCCAGTTGAGGCTAGGTTGTGAGGTTGCATGAATGTCTTATTAATTGGGATTTACTATGTTCTTAAGGAAAATAAAAAACATTAGAGTTAATATATATATATAGCTAATATGCAAAGTGTCCCCTCAGGAGTTCGACCAGGAGACCAGGAGTTCAATTGCTTGCTATGACGTGCACTGACCACCAGGGGGTGGCACGGAATGAAGGAAGGCCTAGGCCAGCAGCTGGAAGGCCCCGATTTGCCCTGATTGCTGGCCAGGCCTAGGGACCCTACCTGGGCACAAATTTTGTGCATTAGGCCTCTAGTTATATATAATTTTTTCCTCATCTCTTCCCAAATATAACTCAGGGCTTATTGACATCAAAAATAAATCATGCTGCATTCTGGGTCAAAATTCTGACATTTTGACAGGTAGAAAATAGAGAGTCAGGTTATTAAATCACTTGGGCAACTTTTCTTTTAATCATTTGCTTGATATAATGGGTTTTAGCCATTCATCAAAGGGACTGTAGACGTCATTTTCTAATTTGCAGTCTATTTGAGACCTACTTGGGGAGATCTAATTGTCATTCTTCATGGGAGAATTTTGGAGCTAGTTTATCCACACAGCATAGTTCACATCTGCCACTAAGATGCTGTGCCATCTTGGGGAAATCATTTTCTATTTCTGGACTTGAGTATCATTACACCTAAACTAACGTAAAGGACTTGGAATCAAACTCAACTGCAATAAATGGTTCATTCCATGTCCAATATTCTGAGTGCCATTGCAATTAGGAGAAATGGAATGTTTGTTGTTAATGTGCAAGCATTTTAAGGATGAAGAAACACAGAAACATCCCCCAAGTCTTCTGGGGTTATAAGTGAGAGCCATGTAGACTCCTCTCTGTGAAGCAGGTGATACTATGATTGCCTGCACACAAACCACCGACTTGGAATGACCTCGGTCTCTGATGATATTCATAGTTGATTCTGAGTGAAGATGTGTCTTTGTTTAATTTTTTTGTTTGGTTGGTTGTTTTGTTGACTGATTAGACATATTGTTCATGTAAATGAACATAGATTTGTAGAAACAGGCCACCTGATCACTGTTTCATTCCCTTTGGTTTACCTTGGCTGCTATCTAATTCAATGGATTTCATCTGTCTCACAGAATCAAGTGAAGCTTTTGAAATATATATATATGTATGTATATATATACATACATATATATATATTTAAGAAGAAACATTTGACAATTTGTAAATGCTTTTATAAATTTATTTAAAAATTCAATGATAAAAATGAGATTATGTTTTCATGATGATGATATTATTAATATAAATTTGGGTAAGATGCCACATCATAGTAGAACAATGCTGTTACTTAATTTGCACAACTACAGTACAGAAATGTGGTTGGCACTGTCTGTGTGACACCTGTAAATTAAACTTGCATTCCAAGAGCAACATTTTACCAAACAAAATTAAATCTGTGCTTGTTAAAAAAAAAAGTACTAATAGTCTTACACATATGCATTTGGAGTAGTTGTACTACAAAAATTTTTATGTAAGACTGGTGTGAAATAAAACAACTATATGCTTAAGGATAGTACATATGGTGTCTCTCTGCTGCTCATCTCCAATCTGATTCTGGAAATCTTGGGATCCACTTTATAACTCATTCTAAGTATCCTAAGGAGAAAGTGAAGATGTTTGAAACAGATTCTTTGACTTTCTCTGTATGGTTTTCAAAATAAATTAAAAATTTTTATCACAGTATTTAATAATTGGGAACTTAAAATTACAAACTTCAACTACTAAGGCCTTGAACCCATTTTTACCTTGCAAACTAGAAAACCTTAAATTCATTTTTACAACAGGAAGGGAAGGATTGAGCAAAATAACTGATGAGTTCAATATTTAACTTTGACATTAAATAATTAATTATATTCTATATATTTCAACTGAGGGAAGAATGTTGAGATGAAGTGTCTCTATTATATTGGATGAATTTATATTCTTTATCCAATGGGATGAAGTTAAGGTGGCCTACAATTTTGCTGCAGTTAAATTTAGTGTAAAAAATGACATAGGGACAACTTATTTGACTAGTTTCTAATAAAAATATCAGTCAAATAAATGAATTCTGACTGAGGGGGGAAAGACCATACCTTTGAAGATAAATACATTTAAGCTAAAATATTTAAATAATAAAATTTAGAAATGAAAATATATTCAATTTAATAAAGTTATTTTTAACTTTACTAGGCATCTTCACAGTTTACTTAATTAAAAATAGTCTGTTCTACAAAAAATAATTAATTTAAAGTGTCAACAATTTCCAATTTATTAACCATAATGTAAAACTTGAAGATAATTGCATGGATTTTATGAAAAGTGTTAAAGAAAATTTTTTTGAATTTTTCCCCAGAAAATAATTACCTGTAACTGGTGTTATAGGCAGATATGAATAAGAAACTAACTAATTCAAGTAACAAATATATATTAATGGCCAATTTATTTTCTTTTTAACCAAACAATGAATATAAACAATTATTTTACTGTGCTCTACTGTATGTGAATATTATAAACAGATGTTATTTTATTCTTAAAAAGGATTTTATATTTGCAAACCTATTTTGAAAATAACTATGTTGAAAGTTCACCTGTAATAAAACCTGTTAGTCAATCAATAATGACATGAAAATATATTTTGCATTCACTATCTCAACCATGACTTATTTCTAACTTAAGTCATGTGGTTAGTTACCACACACCTACTTTCTTCAATGTCCAGTTAGGCATTGGCCAACAGTCTTATATTGATGAGAAACCAAAGAGTAGGATAGTGATTCTCCATTGCCTATCTCACACTCATCTGTTCTTCTCTGTATGGAAGTAAGATTTATCTTTTGCTAAGTTAGTGTTTCTTAAGGTATCACTCAAGCAAACACCTACTGTCCAACATCTGAATTATGTGAGAAGGGTACGACTGCAGATTCAAAGGTGCCGAACCAGGTATATAGAATCAGAATCCTGGAGGGGAGCAGAGAATTAGCATATTTAGTATTCTTCCAAAGGGTATCTAAAAATTGAAACCTGCAAAGAACAGGACTCAAACCATGACTCTTGTCTACTTTCCAGGTGTGCTGTAATAAATGCAATATCCTACTCCATGCACCGTGCCAGACCTCTAATCCTCTACAGCAAAAGGTCAACTTTCTTCAGGGTATGGAATTCATCCTTGAATCCCCGATATTTTATGTATCCAGAATTGAATGTATCATTGGATGTCAAAGAATAGAACATGATGAAAAGAGAAAGGAGCAGAGAGGAAGAGAACATCTGCATTAACCTATTAGGTTGGAGAATCATCCTTCATCCCCATCTATAGGAAAAGGTGGCTTTGCTTTACCTAGTCAGCACAGTCCCTACATCTCTAAATAAGAGGCAGAAAGTGAAGTTGAGCTACACTTTGTCCTGAGAAGCCATGCTTTTTCAGGCCAGAATGAAGTATGGATGTAGTACGGAGTTATGTTCATCAGCCAACCCCATCCTACCCGTCATTGGCAGGATCTTCCTGGGCTTTGGTTTATGATTCTTGGTTACCATTAGTAGAACTTTTAGAAAAATCTCATAGTTTAAAATCCATGTCTTTATGTTGCTCTCTTACATAGTGTTCTATGAGCAGGTCTCTGTGATTGAGACCACATAAAAGGGAAGAGGGAGGAAAGAATCGAGCTGATTTCATTAAATACATGCATACATATAGATTTGACCAAGAGAATATTGGTGCTATTCAATTTAAGGGAGAATTAGGATCAAGGAAACTGGGATATAAATGGTAACAACATGAGTTTTTATTTTTATTTATTTATTAAGCTTTTAGACAATTAGTTTTGGTAAGTATTCAGGCTCATATTCTCATGAAGTGGTGAAGGGTAAGCAGAATGAACTTCGGAAATCCAAATATAAAGAGGACACAGTTGTGCTAAGTGAAGTAAGTCAGAGAAAGACAAAGACCTTATGGTTTTACTTATATGTGAGGTCTAAAGAGAAAAATAAACAAACAAAATAGAAAGAGACTCACAGATACACAGAATAGACTGATGGTTGTCAGAGGGGAGGAGGTTGGCGTCTGGGTGAAAAGAATGAAGGGACTGAGAATTACAGATTGGTAGTTATGGAATAGTCTAAGCACTATGCTGTAAACCTGAAACTGATACAGAATAATATTGCATGCAAACTATAATCTATAAAAATAAAAGCATAATATGCTAATTGGACTGGGTGTCCTTCCAGACAACCTTCTGGATGAAGGTGCGGTGGAGGGGGCCGAGCCCCTGCACAAATTTTGTGCATCAGGCCTCTAGTTAAAAAATAAAATTAAAAGAAAAGAGGACAGAATTGAAGGATTGTGAACAAATGTACTCTTTGTCAAAATTACCAGACATAACAGTGATGATAACAATTGTGCATCATTTTACTATATGTAGTAATTTTTAAAAAGACAGTGGACTCTTTTCAAGAAAACAAAACAAACAAAACAATTAAAAGCAAGAACAGTTAGAAAGGCGACTGAGGGAAGGAGATTCAGTGACATGAAGTCAAATAGAAGAAAAACCATCCATGGCTAAAGCTGAAATTTTTTTTTCAAGGTGAGAGAGAATGGATACAGTGTCATGCTGACTGGTCACTTGGGAATTATCATTGAGTATTTTCTAACCTAATTTTTATTGACGTCTCAAGTAAATATTCTCAATACTTACATTCCCTGTTCACTGTGGTTTTCCCCTTAGAACACAGGGAATGATGTTTCTTTCTTTTAATTGACCAACAAGCTCAACATGGAACCTTAGGGACCACGGGTCACCAATGGGACCAGACCCTCCTTTGTTGTTCTTGCATGGCAGGACTGAGCAAATTCCTCAGTACATCCACCACGGAAAAAGCCTGGAATTTCAAACTGCAAGTGACTTGAAGAGGGGAGGGGGAACTTGAAATGCCTTTCATTTTATTTTATTTTTAAAGAACGTCTCCACGTAAGGGGCAAAGAATAGATCCTCTGCCGTAAGTGTTTCACTGGGCAGTTTTTTAAATTAATGTAGTTTAACTATTACATTAACTTAATGGCTATTTTCCCCTGCTTTAACCATGTTAAATGTGCCGGCAATAATGAGCTTCTAATGCTGTCTCTTTTAAGTCTCAGAGGCATCTTTAGAGCTGCTGCTTATCTCCTGGATCATAAAGCTGCATAATTTAGTATTCAAACAATTCATTTAAAACCGAGGCCCTCGGAATCACCGTAAAATTAATCAGAACAAAGTCATCTTAACCCATCAGTTTGGTTTATTGCTAGTTAGCAAATTTGTAAATGAAAGTGAGATAGAAATGTTGACTGAGCTGCAATTGTATTTTTTTCTAGATGGAGTCCCTACTCCAAGAGATATCAACACAGGCTGCAAAAGATCATGGGTCACGTTTCCAATGATTCCTTTGTAACTGTGATAAATCCGGACTTTAACTTTGTTCTATACTGTAAATTCCAGAGCTACTTCTCAGCTATATATTGTTTTACTCTCCCTTTATTATTTTATTTTTAATTAATTCATTCATTTATTGAATTCCAAATTTGACAACTAGGGGAAATTTTGCCACTAGTTGGAGTGATCAATTAGAATTACTATTATTTTATTTGAAAACAGCTTTTAGAAATTTTTCAAGTTATTTTGATGATGATTTTCAATTATTAAGACCTTGATGGGGACCCAAGGACTTAAATTTCCAGAATATTCAATTACTAACAGGAAGTATAGCCCTACTAGTGGCCCGGTGCACAAAATTCGTGTGCATTAAAAGAGAACTAATTAGAGGAAATATTTTAATGTTGCTATTTGCCCTTTCTCTATAACAGAAGTGTTAGAGATGTAAGAAAATTAGTAAAATGTATATGAAAATCTCTCTCCTGTCAGAGTCTGGGGCATGCTGTGGGACCCAGAGTCAAGTCCCCGCCCATCGACACATGCCTCGAAATCGTGAGAGACCCAGACCCGGCCGGCCCCACCCACATCAAGCCCTGTAGGGCAGGTGTCACAGCCTCATGTCCCCTGGCCCTGGCGCAAGGGTGCGAGGGCGCAATGACCATTTGCATATTAGTTCTTTATAATATAGAACTAGAATATCTTGAAGCTCTAAAGCTGTGTTAAACTGTCCTGGGGAGTTGTTGTCTTAGTGAAATCCTCTAGTTTCTCAAGCATATCTGTAACTCATGTTTAGAAACAGCTGAATTTTTTTAACTGAACTGTAAAATTCTGCCTGGAATGTGAGAAGCACTGGGCTATGAATTATATCTACTAGTAGGTCCTGAAGAAGTAGGCTGATCTCTTACCATAAGCACCACAGTTCAGAGTGGCATTCCCCAAGGTTTGACACGTGGAATCTCAGGAAATGTTACATAAATCAAGGGGAGGTACATGCACAGATATGGAAAGGATGAGTTATACTTATTTTTCCAAAAATACCTTAGCCAAGTGAGATCCTTGAAAAGTCTAGAGCACAGGTTAACAAACTTTCATAGGAAAGCATCAGATAGAACATGTTTTAGACTTTGCAGATTATTTGCTCACCTTTGAAACTCAACTCTCTCAACTTTGCCTTCATAGTACTACAGCCACCGTGGATTATACCAGCAGAAAGGGCATGGCCATGTTCCAGTAAAACTTTACATATAAAACTGATGGCATGTTGCCAAACCTGGATTAGGGAGCATGAATCTCTAATAGAAAAAACCTATTGGGATTTAAACACAAATTTTACCATAAAATCATGTTTCTTTTGTTTAAGAATCATCTTGTAAATCTATTGTGTGAAAGAATATCCATTATGATATGGAAGTATAATGGGAAGAGTGGGCTTTGTCATCTAAGTGACATATGCCAAGGATTTAGCACTTCAATTGGATAACTTCACAACCATTGACAAATTGCTTAACTTTTCCAGCCACATTGAATCCATTTGTGAAGTAGTGAATAACCATTGGCACTTTATACAGTTGGTGTATGGATTAAAGGAGAATTTATACATTATTTTATGGCATGTGCTGGCCTTCAATAAGTATGAATCTCCTTATGATGGTTACTTATCTCCTTTCAAAGACTATTCTTAGTCCCTTTTACCTTTTGGGTACTTGATTTATTGGGGTGATCACTTATCAAGTTATATAAATGTCTAATCACTATGTTGTACACCTGAAATTAAAATAATATTGTATGTCAACTGTAATTAAAAAACAAATTAACAAACAAAATAAAGACTATTATTACTGGATTTATTGCATTTTATTTTTATTTGTGTTTTCCAGTCTTCCCCTTTAATACCCAGCAAACGAATGTGAAGTTTCTTAATGTGAGCTTGTGAATGTCAGTGAGCGGATCCACTCTTGTCTCTAGTCATGGGTCATTTAACATTTCTCAGTGTGGCTGGATTTCTCTGAGCTATTTGGCTGATTTTAAAGCTCAGGGGTTCTCTTTAAAGTAGTTTTGTTAGCAAGAGCTGAATAAAGGATGCTGAAGGCTGGAATTAGGGCTCATCCTGTCATTCAGTCTTTTCCTTGTTATTTTTTATAATAGTATCAAACATTGAGGGTTCACAATTCGACAAGCCCTGTCCTCAGGTCTTTCTGTGTACTGACTCACTTAATCCTCAAAATATTCCTATGGGATAGTTACTAAATTAAACCTGAGGTTAGAAATAAAGAAACTGAGGCATAGAGTGAGTGCATGACTAGCTGTTCAAGGCTACACCACTGGTAAGTGCAAGAGCCAGAATTCAGGGCCAGGTGGCCTGCCTCAAAGCTCTCCCAAACGCCCACTACACTATTTCCACTCTGGAGGAAAATTTAGATCTTCCTTCAGAAAATACTTTTGGAGCATTTGCTAAGATATTTCGGCTCTCTGAAATGAGATCATTTGGGTAACCTGAGGCAGTGCTGTGTGGTACAAAGGACCCCAGCATCCAGGTCAGATAAATCTTGATCAATGCTGACTCTACCACTCACTGCTTCAGTGACCTCACACCACTTATCATTTCAAAGCCTTGATTTTTGCAACCAAAAAAAAAAAAAAAAGATAATTATACCTACCTCATGCATCTATTTTGGGAATAAAAGATTAGTTATGCAATTACAGTTCCAGGCACTGAAGAGGTCTCATAAGTGCTCTTTCCTCTCCACCTCTCTCCTCTTTATTATCTAAGGGGTCTCAAATGGATCCAGGCAAGCCAATAACTATTATTCAAGGATTTCACTTGAGAAAAAAATGGGCAGTCTGCCCCTAACATGCCTTCCCTTCTCTTTTAAACAGCTCCCTTCTTTCCCCCGGCCCTCCCTCAGTGATTTGGTGTTCTCATGCCAATTTTTTCAGCGAACAGTAATATTTCCTTATATGTGATTAGTACTGGACTTTCAAATCCCTTTATTACTGTCTTCTTATTCCAGCCATCCCCCATAAAAATTCAGTGAAGGAAAATATTGCTATCCCATGTGTAAATAAGAAATCTGACCCTTATCATGTAAGGTACTTATATAACCAACCACTAAGGAGAGGTGACACCAGAGTTTGAATCTTCTTATCACAATATACCAAAATGGCTCTATGATTGTTTCTGCGTATTAGGTCCTAGGGACAGTGCTCGGTGCCATGGTGGACACAGAGCTGGGCAGGCAGTCTTCCTTTATGAAGTTTTTCTTTCCATTAATGTGAGATTTCCCATTCTTCCCCACCAGTTCTCCTCAGGTGGCTTTTTTTATTATTATTTTTAATTGTCTAAAGTTCTATATGTCTCCCCTTCCCCCAATTGACCCCACCGCCAGCCATTCCCACCCAGGCAAGCCCCCACCACCCTAGTGTCTGTGTCCATTGGTTATGCTAATATGCATGCATACAAGTCCTTTGGTTGCTCTCTAACCCCTACCATTTGTCTCTGGACCTATTCTTGTTCATCAAATTATGTTAATCATTATATCCCACATATGAGTGAGATCATGTGATTTTTATCTTTCTCCGACTGGCTTATTTTGCTCCTCAGGTGGCTTTTGATCTTTGAGAGCTTTTCTAATCTGCATAGAATAAAGAGAAAAAAGGCAATGTATGTATCCACTTACATCCAAGTAGAAAAAAAATGCCCATGCATATGCAAACACAAAATAAGGCTAAAACCACAAAAAACAAGCAAACAAAACAACCTGACAACTTTTTGTTTTTTTTGTGAGCTTTTACAAACATATTCACATGTGTAGAATTCTTGGACCCTATATAACAATCTGGTAGGATGGGAAAGGTGAATGTTTCCTATGCACAGAGGGAGAGACAAAGGTTGAACTTCACACAGTCTACACAGCAAAACTAAAACTAGAAATGGCAAAAGAAAAATTCAGGGTTCTCTCATTCACCACCCATTCCATCTCCTTTCAAATTGGAAAGGTTGGAAAGCTGTAAACTTACTTTGCGCAGCCTCCCTTGCTGCTAGGGTTCTTGGTGAATTCAGGAGGTAATGGGGAGGCAGGAGTGGGACTCAGGCTATCATCCTGTGGCTGAGGCTGTGAGTGCTGACTCACAAGCCAGTGGATCCATGAGTTCTTCTCACAGCAGATTTTCATGTTGGGTTTCCAGGTTCCTGAGGGTTGGGAAGCTGCAGCCCCTGGGAGTTTCCTCAAGTAACCTCCAAATTCCAGTACTTCCCTGCCAGTGACCAATCCCCTGCTTACTGGTGTGCAACCCCTTCAGGGTGAGCCCCTGTGGTGCTCATAGAGGTGGCAGCTCCCCTAGTGGTCGAGATTGGTATAGCTCTAGAACTTCGCCCTCAGGCTTTCCAGTTTTCTCAAGACCTAATTCCTGGAATTGAATCCTTTCCTGGTAAATACTTTAGTGGCTTCTGTTTCCTGCACTAAAATCATATATACTCCCAGCTGAGAAATCTACATTTTTGCCAGCACTTCTGGAGACGACACTTTAATGCATTTCAGACAAAAGGAAAACTAATATCTAAATACATCGAGAAGAAACAACCTGCTTTGCAGTTTCTTGAAATAAGTTCAGTTTCTATTGAACTTGTCTAAAGAACTTAAGGCCTTTTTAGGGATATATATAAAACACAAAAACATCCCCAAGGGTTAGGAAATAAAGAAACACACACAGGATGTTCCTCTCTGCCCTTGAGTAACTTGTACTCATAATAACTATTAAGAGCTATATATCTACCTTATGTTTTATGAAGAATTTATCATATCTCATTCAGTCCATGCAGAAGACCTCTGAGGTGAGCATGGCATCAATCATAAGTCACATTCTACCTATTAGAAAACAAGGAAGGTGGGGCCATGCTATTATTTTCCCTCTCCGGGACCATGTAGTTAGCACCAGGTGGTGTCCAGCACAGAATCTATACTTATAAAAGGATAATATGCTAATCAGACCAGATCGACCAGACATCTTCCAGATGTCCTTCTGGACGTCCTTCCAGACAAAGCCATGGTGGCGGGGGCCGAAGCAGAGGCAGTTAGGGGCGATCAGATTGGCAGGAGAGAGCCGTTAGGGGCAATCAGGCCAACAGGGGAGAGCACTTAGGGGCGATCAGGCTGTCAGGGGAGAGCAGTTAGGGGCGATCAGACAGGCAGGCAGAGGTGGTTAGCAGCAATCATGCAGGCAGGGGAGCAGTTAGGGGAACCAGGCAGGCAGGCAGAGGGGTTAGGGGCAATCAGGCAGGCAGGTGAGCAGTTAGGAGCCAGTTGTCCCAGATAGTGAGAGGGATGTCCTGGATTGGAGAGGGTGCAGGCCAGGCTGAGGGACCCCCCTCTGGTGCACAAATTTCATGCACTAGGCCTCTAGTAAGCACAGAATAAGAGTTGAATGAATTAATGAACCGGTGGCTTAAATTCTGGGAGGTTAGGTATCGTGTCATAATCACAAAGGGAGTGAGTGGCAGAACCAAGGTTTCAGAATCCAAACTCTAGGCTTTGTCTGGAAGAGTCATTAATTACATTTACAGGATTCTTGAGAGCCTGCAGCTGCTTGCAGACAGAAGACAACTGTGGAGGGGCCCTGTTCAGGGACTCCATTCCATTCACCAGACTTAGATTCAAATCCTGGCTCTGTCACTTATTAGCTTGTGACAATTTCACTGAGCCTCAGTATCTATGTGTATAACCTGAGAAGGTCAACTGCTCCTTTATACTTACTAAACAAGACACCAGGTACAACAGTCCTCCCTTATTCACAGTTTCTCTTTCTGTGTATTCAATAGCCATGGTCAATGTGGTCCAAAAATATCAAATGGAAAGTGCCAGACATAAATAATTCATAAGTTCTAAATTGCATGCTGTTTTAAGTAGTTCAATGAACTTTCTCACAATTACACTCCATCCCCACCGGGACATGAATTATCTTTTGCCCAGCGCAGGTACACTGTATATACTCCCCACCCATTAGTTACTCAGTAACCATCTCAGTTACTGGATCCACTGTCCCAGTATCATAGTTTTTGTGTTCAAATTACCCTTATTTTACTTAATAATGATTCCAAAGCACAAGAGTAGTGATTCTGGCAATTTGGATATGCCAAAGAGAAGCCCTAAGTATATGTATATACAGGAAAAAACATCCTATATAATAAAAGTGTAATATGCAAATCAACCGAATGACCGAACAGCAGAACGGCCATCTGGATAACCATCCAGATGACCATCTGGGACCATGCTATGACACCCACTGGTGCCAAGCCAGCCAAGGCGGGTGTGATGTGATTGGTTGGGGCCCAGCCATCGCCCCATGATCACCCCGCAGAGGGAGGACCAGGCCACCAACCAGCGGGCTGTGGAGGGTGGGCGGGGCCTCCCTCTGTGAGGGAAGCCTGGGTCCTGGCTGCTGGGCTGGAGGGAAGCCCAGGTCCTGGGTGCCGGAGGGAAGCTGGTGCCAGCATCTGGGGAAAGGAAAGCCTACTCTTGCACAAATTTTATGCATCAGGTCTCTAGTAGTATATAAAGTATTTGGTATTATCCCAGGTTTCAGGCACCCACTGGAGGTCTTGGAACATATTTCCTGAAGATAAGGGGGGACTACTGTATAGACTGGCTCATTGTCAGCCACAGACAAATCTTACAATTCTTATAGTTTGTATTTTAAAAAGGCGAAGGTCCAGAACCTAGATTCTAGTGGTCTGAGTGCTGATTACATGCACTGACATTCTTCCAAAGTCTTCATTTAGTGTTAGTAATTTATATAGAGCACACGCACCCACGGCATTTGAAGCTTATGCAAATGTGGTTTAAATGTATCCAGCATATTGAGGAGGCAAATCACTCTTCCTGGCCAAGATCCTGAGTTAGAGCCTCCTCTGAACACCATCCAGATTAGAGGAGAAAATTAACTATGGGTCAAGGGAGGAAGCATTTGTGTCAGGCCCTGGGATGGATCTACCTGGTCTCCCCAGCCATTCAAATGCCTTATTGGACTGATGTTTGAGTCTCTGTAATGAGAAGTTGGAGTTGATCTTTTTTAAAAACATATTTTTATTGATTTCAGAGCTGAAGGGAGAGAGAGAGAGAGAGAGAGAGAGAGAGAGAGAGAGAGAAGAAACATCAATGATGAGAGAGAATCATTGATCGGCTGCCTCCTGCACACCCCACCCCACACTGGGGGGTCGAGCCCACAACTCAGGCATGTGCCCTGACCAGGAATCAAACCTTGACCTCCTGGTTCATAGGTCAATGCTCAACCACTGAGCCATGCCAGCCGGGCTGGAGTTGATCTTTTAAGTTCATGTTCTGCAAGGAGATTCTCAGTCCTGGTGTAAATGCTGATCTAGTCTTCCAGCCTCAGTTACAACCATAATCATCAAATCCCAAGTAAATGCGTAGGTAAAACTGTGATTATCAAGCTCAGTGCTGTCAATACCAAATCATCAAATCCCAAGTAAATGCGTAGGTAAAACTGTCTGTGATGATCAAGCTCAGTGCTGTCAATACCTGAACCTTATTATTTTAAATTTCAGCTTGTTCTCTTTTTTCCAGGTCAGAAACTGATTTCAAGAAAAAGTCAATACTAGGTATCCTTACTTCCCTGTAATCCAGGATTTCATCTAAAATGTTGAGTAGATGAAAGGAAGGAATTAACTTAATCAAAATTCCCAAGTAGCATCACGGCCTGGAGGAGGAGCATGGATCTGGCCTGCAGTTGTCACATTTTCTCACCTGGCACCTGCTGAGGTGAGCAGTGCTGTCTGCTGCTTTCTCTGCTTCAGTGATTCATGCAGCCATCAACTGGGATGTCTGTGTTTCCATCTGCTCTCCCGTCCAATGCACGTTGACATTCTCAGCGGGATCACCTTGTCCTGATCACAGAGCCCTGAAAGGCCACAGACTCCCCTTCTCAGCTCAGGTTTGCACCCTCCTCAAAGACGTGGACAAGCCAGCTGTCTGTGATGCTGCACTTTCTGCGAATGCAGAATTCCAAGGATGCTGCCTCCTTGCCTCAGCCTGCTGTCCCCGGCCTGTGACGGTAAGGACACTTCAGTGAGAACTACAGGTGACAAGGTGGCATTTGTGCCTTCTACCTTCAGATCCCTCATCTCATCTGGGGGTCCCATCATGCTCTCCCACCTGTAGAGTTGCACCCTGGGGTAGAAATAAGACAAGACCCACCTGCAGACTCCCCAGCAAAGCCTGACCCTGTGGATCTCTGACTTTTTTCTGCAAAGGTTTTATTGCTTTCTTGGGCAAAAGAAGAAAAGCTTGCTCAGGAACAACTTTGATTCTATTGTATGAGCCAGATGCTGGCTTTAGGAATGCCAAAGCCAATAATTGAATTATTTTGTTCTTAGAGAACAAATTTCTCTGAGACAATGGATACAGTAAATGGAAGTAAGGGGCAGGGGACAAAAGGATAGTGACTACTTCTCAGCGGTACCCCATTATATAAGTAACTATACAACTTTCCTTCTAATCCTTGGATAAAACACACTGGCAGTGGTTGTGATTAAAGGGTAGTCGTGAAAGTTCCCTTTTCTTCCTGAGCTAGTATAGGGAAATCCCCCCGAAAAGAGAAGACACATTGAATAGTACACTTTAGAGCAGGGGTGGGCAAACTTTTTGACTCGAGGGCCACAATGGGTTCTTAAACTGGACCGGAGGGCTGGAACAAAAGCATGGATGGAGTGTTTGTGTGAACTAATATAAATTCAAAGTAAACATCATTACATAAAAGGGTACGGTCTTTTTTTTTTTTTTAGTTTTATTCATTTCAAACGGGCCGGATCCGGCCCGCGGGCCTTAGTTTGCCCACGGCTGCTTTAGAGTGAGGTTTGGGGTGGGTGGGATAGGTGGGTGGGGGATGGAGAGTTCATTGCAGCATTATTTACAATAGCTAAATTATGGAAGCCCAAGTGCCCATCAATAGATTAGTGGATTAAAAAAAAACTATGTACATTTATGTAATGGAATATTACTCAGCCATAATAATGAATTAGATCTTGCCATTTACAACAACATGGATGGACCCAGAGGATATTATGCTGAGTGAAATAAGCAGACAGAGAAAAGCAAATACCATATGATTTTACTTATATGTGGAATCTAAAATAATAAATAAATGAACAAACAAAACAGAAACAAACTCAGAGATACAGAAAATAAATTGATGTTTGCTATACAGGAGGTATGTTGAGTAGATGGGTGAAAAATGGGCAAGGGTTAAGATGTACAAATTGATAATAATAAAAGCAGTTATGGTATGTAAAGTGCAGCATAGAGAATAAAGTCAATGACATTGTAATAACTATGTATGGTGTCAGATGGGTAGTAGTGTAAGATAAGGCATACAAATGTCTCTTCGCTGTGTTGTACATCTGAAATTAATAAAATATCGTAGGTCAACAGTATTTGAATTTTTTAAATGCAGAAAAAGAAAGTACAATCCTACTTCCAGATAAAGACCATTACATTCTAGTGCATATATTTGATAATTAAAGGAAATAGTCAGGGAAAATGGGCCTGGGATGAGTTGCTGAGGACAATCTGGGCCTACAGGAAGTGAGGCTGTGTTCTGATTTACAGGAATTTAAAGAGGAATGAAAAAATCAGTAAATTAGTAAAGAACCAAGCTAACGAGATTATGGTAAAGTTAATTCACTAAAAGAAAGGAATTTAAGTTCACATTTGACAGCTACAGGCATCTTTCACCTAAGTTTTAAGAGTTCCAAATGCATTTTTAACTTAAACCGTATTGCACTTTCACGCTGTGTTCTGATTTACAGGAATTTAAAGAGGAATGAAAAAATCAGTAAATTAGTAAAGAACCAAGCTAACGAGATTATGGTAAAGTTAATTCACTAAAAGAAAGGAATTTAAGTTCACATTTGACAGCTACAGGCATCTTTCACCTAAGTTTTAAGACTTCCAAATGCATTTTTAACTTAAACCGTATTGCACTTTTATCGTTCTGTTTTTGTGTTTGTTCTTTTTTTTTTCCTTTAGGTCAACTGATTGTACTAGTATATCAGCAATTTCTTGTGTCATTAGGAATTCTGTTAAAAAATATTAACCCTAGTTTCTTTCCTTCTAATAAATCCTTGTTTAGAAATCCATTATATAAAGTAGGTAAGAAGGAAGGTTTTTTCTTTATTTGAGATGAAGATAGATGGTCGGGGAACCTGGGAACCAAAACCATTAGTGAACTGTGATATTTTCAATGTACTATGGTGCCCTTCCAGTGGGTTGAGGGACCAGTGCTGTAGGGGTGGACTTAAGAACGCTGGGGGTGAGGAAGTCTGGATACTGTCACCTCTGCTCCACCCAGTGACTGAGTGATGACCTGGAATAATTCCTTATTCTGAATTTCAGGGTTTTTTATATATATAAAATGAAAAGAGTTGTTCAGATGACTTCTAGGGCTCTTTTCAGCTTCAAAATGTGGTACATTTAGAGAAGGCCCCAAGATGAAAGAAAACCACATCTTGTATATGAGTATGCCTTATTGTCATGTAGATTACCTTTCAAATTTTCTTCTTTTTTATTTTCAGTACATTAAATTTACTCACAAAAACATCCTAAAAATATACAATTTTCTTTTGTAACAAAGTAAAATGAAACATAAAACCCCCATAACAGAACACTTGACATTTATAATTCAAAATCAAATTAGCAGAACTATCTTTTTAAAAAAAATATTGATAAAGTTACATGCAATTTTGCAGAATTGACATAAGAGATGATTCCCAAGGAATGAGCCAGGTGACTTTTAAAGCCAGGGTTCTGAAGAGGCTCAATTATTTTGAAGTCCCAAGGTTCTAAAAGAAAATTTCTTTAATCAACATTCACAAAACTATGTACTGTGCTGGTTGAGGCCAAAGGCCAATGTCACTACACTGTAAGTGGGGGGAGGGGAGTGCCTGATCTGGGTCCTGGGTATTGTAACAAGCCTCTCCCTTGCATGAGTTCTTACAGACACAAAAGAAGTCTTTGGTACTGAAGAATCGTCACAGCTTCTATTGGACATACTTGTTTTTATAGGCATGAAGGATAATTCTCCCATTTTTGAGCCATTCTCTTATATCAATTCAATATTCCTTCTTATTCTCTTTTGGAGAATCACAAATAGATAAGAGCATTTCAAACCCAGGTGGGTGAACTTTGAACCACCTGATCTTGGAGACTTGGCTGACATTATGACTGTTTCTACCCTCTCAAATTGGCAGAAATCTAAAGAGAGAAATTGTTCTATATTTCTCCCAGTTTTATAACCTCACCACCCTGTATTCCATTTCCTCATCTCTCCCCACACCTCTGTACTTCCAAGCAGAGTTACTGTACCATTCACTTTGCTCTTTAATTCTCATAAAACAAAGGGGGTTTAGACCCTGGTTCATGAAACTTTTCAACATCAATTATTGAAATGCTTTTCTGTAAAAAATAAAGGAGAAAAAACTCTCTCTGCTTTAACTTTTCACACTACATTTGGTGAGGAAAAACTTGTTTTATGGGAGGAAAATATTTGTCACTGATTTCAAGTTAAATGTGGACCAGGTTAAAGCTGGATTTTCCCCCATGACCAGATTTGGGAGTGGGGAGGGAATTTGATAATCAGTAACATGTACCTGAGACCCATTTTTAACCCTGGACATAAAAACACTCAACTGTACAAATGAATATTTTCTCTCACAGAGAACTCATGAGAATTGTTCTGCTCTATCAGTTAAAGCAACTGTATGTTCTGAAGAAGTCCCCCAAATACCTCATTTTCTGGCAATAGGGACTATCTTATTAAAAAGTCATTTTAATTTACTGTGCATTGCTAGAAAAATAATGAATATTAAATAAGCAGCTTACTGTCAAAAGCCCAATTGATGGGAAGGGAGAGTTGGAAAGTGCCCCAGAATCCCCAAGGTCACAGGGGTCCTATCTGTTCTCCTTGGAAGAACAGTGTCTAAAGGACACACCTGTCAGTTCAGTAAATCAGACAGACCTTCCTGGATTTTGACAGGTGCCATTGAACAATTCAGGCCATCATCTCAGCCTGCATTTTCTCGTGTTTTTTGAAGTTTGTATTATTATTATGATACTTTTTGGAGTTGTAATTTTTATTTTATTTTCTAGATCATCTACTTATGTTTCAAAAATTCAAAATTATAATTGTTCCACACATTGGGTGGTTAGTAGTTTCTTGCAAGTAAGAGCCGTACTGCTATAAATATGTTTGCTTTGTCTGTTGGTATACAAGAGTTCTCTACAAGGTTTTTCTATAAATGGGACTGCTGGTTTGTCCATTAAAGCAACCATTAAAGTTCACAATATAACTCCCAATTGTTTTTCAAAATGCTTGTATTAATTTACAATCCCACCAGCAGTGTGCTAAGGTTCCACTTAATGCATATTCACAGCTAATATTTGATATTATCAAACATTAATTTTTTGTCAGTCTCATGATGTAAAATGATATCTAATTGTGGTCTCAATTTAGATTTCCCTGCTTACTAATGAAGTGGAGCATAATATTTCATATTGGTTTTCTTTGCGGTGTATGTTTATTGCCCATTTGTCTTTTTTTTTCTGTGTAATTTTAGTTAACTACTAATGTGATTTCTTTAATGATTATAGTGTTTTTCAGGCTTTCTATTTTGTATGTGTGTGTCAGTAACTTATAATTTCTAGAATTTCCTCTAAGTTTTAAACATATTGGCAAATAGTAATTCATAAATTATTTTAGTTTTTATTTTCTTGTTTTAACTTGCTAGATCTATGTTCACGGTTTCCTTTTTAAATCCATTTGTGTCAGATGTTTCTGTTGAATCTTACCAAAGGGTTACTTATTTACTTAGCCTTTATTTAATTATTTATTTATTTATTTATTTATTTATTGTTTTTTACCAGAAGATTTGATTTGCTTCTGTTGGGTCTTACATGCTGATGTCACCCAGAAGCTACTTTATCCCTCTTGAGGGTCCCACACTTAATTGAAAAATCTCAAGTTCACCTTCCTACTTGACCCAGAGTAGATTAGATGCTCACAGCAGTGCTTGCACTTAAGGAGATCCTGTCTTATGTTTGTCTGCCTCTCCTTGTCCTTGTTTCTCTTTCTGGGTTACTGTTGCTATCATCCTTGTTTTGCTTTCTCTTGGTCTTTTTTTCTTCCTTTCTTAATTAACTAGAAGCCCAGTGCATGAAATTCATGCACTCAGAGGGGTTCCCTCAGTCTGGCCTACACCTTCTCACCATCCGGGAGCCCTTAGGGGTTGTCTGGTTCCCCATGCGGGCCTAAGCCAGCAGTCTGACATCCTTAGCGCTGCCACGGAGGTGGGAGAGGCTCCCACCACCACCACTGTGCTCGCCAGCCATGAGCCCAGCTTCTGTGGGAGTGCAATGACCACCTGGGGGCAGCTCCTGCATTAAGTGTCTGTCCCCTGGTGGTCAGTGTGCATCATAGCGACTGGTCATTCCACCGTCCGGTCGATTTGCATATTAACCTTTCATTATATAGAATTAATTTATTTTTTATTTTTTCCCTTATAGATTTTAATTTCTAATGAGCCAAGAAGTACCTTAGAAATTACACTTTTATAATTTTTGTATGAACTAGTTATATTTTAGCAATAGTTTTGCAGAGAATCCAGCCTAACATATTGTTAGAAATCAAATTGCGCATGTATTGATTTTTTTAATTGTAAATACTTAATTTATGTGTATCCATTATAATCATTATAAAGATGGGTTTTGCTTTATTATAAAATAAATTTTTATCTTAAAATTTAGTTTTGTTTATATTATGGAAATACATACTTGCTAAAATTTAGTTTTGTGGGTTTATTATGTACTCTGTTTGTATACCCTTTTAAAATATGTCATTATGAGGTGTTTCTTCTATATTTTCTTTTCTTTTTACTTTGTTGTTTACCTAATATTTTGGAAAGTTCGTATGTGAGATACCTTAATAATTATGTGTACGATATCTTTAAATTTATATTTATTATTTTACCTTAAATTCCTACTTCTTGAGACAGTTTTATTTGTTTCTAATTTATTAACTTCAAGAAAATACGAGATCACAGTAAAAAATTACCAAGCATGTAAAGAACTTGATAATAATGACTTACAATATACGGAAAAAATTCAAAACAACATATTTAAGCCTCCCTCAGGAGTTCAGATATTGGAATTATCAAATAAAAAATATAGACTTACTACTGTGTTTAAAAGCTAAATAAATAACTTGGAAGTAAAAAATAAATGACTAAGTGACCATCAAAAATTCTAGAAAAATATTAAAAAGATCCAAATGGAACATTTGTAAATAAAAAAATAAACTATTGAAATAAAAAATCCAATGTATGTTTAGCATCAGGTGAGACTAAATTAAAAAAATCAATTTTAATTTGTTTTTAAATTCAAAGTACAGCACTGATAAATAGGTAGGTAGATTATATGAAATAAAGATTCAGGGTAGAAAGGATAGATAAGAAAGTGTAGCATGCCCATATTTGAAGTGTCAGAGAGAGAATGCGGTAAAGGAAATATTTAGTGACATAATAGCTGAGAATTGTGCAAATCTGATCAAAGATATTTTTCTAAATATAAAGAATGATAACTGTGAAAATAGTCTGTATCTTGAGACGATATTAAAAGCATCCGTACTGTGACAAATTTATTATATACTAAAAAATGGCAATAATCCTGACAACAGATTTACAATAGGCAACAGCAATAAGATCCAGAGTTTGGGCTAATATCTCCAAAATGCTGAGAGAATAACTTCAATACCTAATCAATTAAAATCAATTTTTTAAAATTGTTAGCTTTGTTTTTTACATATTTAAGTATTTGTGAAATAATTTTGATGTATTTCTTGATTGTATAGATAATAAGCTTTCTTCTAGTAAACACTAATACAATACAAATGTAATATAGAAAACAAGTGAAAAAAGACAGTGATCTTTTTGTGTGTGTGTGTGTGTGTGTGTGTGTGTGTGTGTAGTATTTATGCTGCAAGTTGGCTTCAAATGATCCTTGACTCCTGATATTTATGCCCTTGTGTAGTCCTCTTCCATGGTATATTAGTCTGATGAGACAGCTAGCAAAAGGTTCTATTTGTAGGTTCTATTTCTCTCTTTTAAATTACTCTGGGGAAGAAAGACATCATGTTTGAGGAGATGCTTATTGGGTGAGTATAGGAGAACCCTGGCTGACAGCCAGCAAAGAATGGAGGGTTCTCACAAATAGCCACACCCATGACCTAGGAAACTGATCCTTCAGGCACAGTCAAGGCATCACATGACTTCAGACATGGAGACCTCAGTCTGAGCCAGAACCATCCAGTTAAGTGTCTTCTGAGTCCTTGAACCACAACAACTGTGTGATCATAAAGTTTGGGTGTTTAAGCAACTAAGTTTTCATGTAATTTGTTACATGGCAATAAATGAGTAGAATGCTGTTTAACACGTGTCTTAGTCAGCTCCGCTGCCATACAGATACCAAAGCCTGGGTGGCTCACATTTTTTGGAAAATGAGAAGTCTAAGATCAAGGGTCCCCGTGATGACTCTTCTTCTGTCTTGCAGATGACCACCTCGTTGCTGTGTCCTCACATGGTATACAGAGAGGGGAAGAAAGCTCTCTGGTGTCTCTTCCTATAAGGGCACTGATTCCATCATGGGTCCCCACCCTCATGACCACATCTAAACCTAATTACCTCCCATTTCCAAATACCATGACATTAGAGGTTAGGGATTCAACATATAACCTTGGGGGGAGAGGGCAACACAATTCAATCCAAACCAATGTAAGAAAAACATTAACATTTTGGTGGCTATATTAGCAGTGAACTGTTAATTCTAGAAACTCCTTCAATGACACAAAATTACAGATGACCTATTTCAGGATACCTGGGACATCAAGCACTAATGTTCTCTTCCAGACTGCTTGGTATCTTTCTGGAACAGACTCTTGTTTGCACTGTTTCTCTCTCTCTCTCTTACATACATCAGTAATTTTACATAAAGCAGATTATCCCATTGCTTTTTCACTAAAAAATATGTTATGGGATTCGTCCCAAATCAATATAAGGAACAAACACACTTCAAATTTTGTTCAGGCTTCAGAGTACCCCATTAGTAGAATAACCATCATTTATATAACCTATCCAGTATTGATGCACATTTAGCTCGTTTCTGTGCTGTGATTAACACACTTGAGATGAACATCTTGGTACATCCATCTTTGTAGTTCAGCTAAATTACTGCCTTAGGAAAAGTTTCTAAAGTGCAATAGCTTCACAGAAGCAATGGGCACCACATTTCACATGATCAATTTTCCTTTTTTATTTGAAATGAAATGCACATCCGTTTCGAAGTGATATGTTTGTCCCCTGCCAAAAAGGGCGAACCGAGCTAAACCCTTCTACTTTACCCCAAACATACCACCGTGTTCTATTTTTGTCTAATTTAATGTCATTGTTTACTTAGACAAAGGAATATAATTTGAATGTTTCTGTATGTCACAAATTATAAAAAGTGTTAATTTAACATAACACTGGATTGCTTTTTAGCACTATCTTGGTTCCTTCAACTTTATTACATTTATTTGGAATTACAAAAGTCATACATCTTCTCTGTGATTAGGTTAGCTATTGAAGTATAAATCACTTAAATGGGGCAATAGGCAGCTGCTATGGCCAGGGGGCAGGGTGGGGTGGGGGTGGAGGGGAAGCATGCCTTTTCTCCAGCCCCAGCCCATCTCACCAGCAAGAGGGGAAGAGCCTCTTCTTTTGATTAGTTGCTATCCTCATTTCTTTCTTGTTTGTTCAGAGCAAGAATACATGTTCTGCTGGGGTAACCTTAGATTCTTTCAATAACATTAGATTTTGCTGTCTCAGAAAAGGAAATATGTAGTTATAAAGGTAGACATAAAACAGCTGTGGTACATTTACACAATGAATTACTACTCGGCCATCAAAAAGAAGGTAACATTACCATTTGCAACAGCAAGGATGGACCTGGAGAGCACTATACTGCATGAAATAAGCCAGTCAGAGAAAGACAAGTACTGTATGACCTCACACTTATGTGGAATCTAATGAACAAACTGAACTAACAAGCAAATGGAGACAGACTCATAGATAGGGAGCAGGCAGACAGCTCTGGTGGG